CTGCATTAGCGTGAACATCTTCTGAAAATTTTGCATTTGTTCTTGTTGCTGTTTCATTCTCTACCTCATTTTTCCTTTGTCTTTTCTGTGTCCCGTCAAGGTTCTCTAGAGCTCTGTATATCATTTCCGCTGCTTTGGCACTATCGACTTTCTTTATGTTATTTTGCGCTGTTTCTTCAACCACAGCTTCTTTTTCTACTTTCTCCTCAAGTGCTTTTTCAACGTCACTCAAATCTGTATCTATTCCACTTGCCTTTTCTTCATCTCGCATCTTTGCTCTAAATTTGCCGCTAAAAAGCGTATATCGTTCTCTGACAGATCGCTTCATCACTCTGAACTGGGGATGTTGAAGGCTGTTCAGATTGTTCGCTATTTCACCCCAAATTTGGCCCCCTGCAATGCTTCCTTTTTTTGCCTTGAACGGTTCAAGAACGAGAATCTCCTGGCAAAGAATATTGTCATGTTGTTCAGTCCACTCCATGTTGGTTCTAAAGATAAAAATAAAATGTTAACGCTTATTTTCTTTTTGTTTGTGTTGCATGTTTTTTATCTTTTTTCTACTGCAAGCAGAACTCTTTTTTGTTCACCAAATATGCAAGACACTTTCACAAACATAAATAATCGAGAGATTCTAATTTACTAAGTGTAATTCGTGTTGAGTTTCACCACATTCATTGCTAAAAACGTGAAGAAAAGAGAATAAGAGAACTTACTGAGTAATCTTCTTGGCACTCGTGTCGGCTGCAGCCATGACCTGTTTAGTGGAGAAGAAAAAAAACATGTTATTTCTCGAAAATCAGGTCCCAGAAGAGGAGGCATACGAATCAAAAATATTATTAACTCCATAATGCGCAAAATATTCGAAAATTATAAAAGATATTTTATAAAAACACTGTAATCAACTCACGTTTTGTACGAAACGGCAAATCAGTTGTTTTGACGTCGCAGATGACACAGTTACGGCGGGAATTTACGGGGAACGGCTACCGGAAGTAGGTAAACACGCATTCAAACTTCCGCCCGCCGTCGTAGACATCCACCGTCGTAGACATCCACCGTCCTCGGATCTTAAGGTCCCTATTATCGCCCTTAGTGAAACCTGGTTAAGATACCAGCCACAATTGCTGCAATACGTATCGGTACCTGGCTTTACAACCGAGTTTAGAAATAGGCAAGGCTTAAAAGGAGGAGGTGTTGGCGCCTACATCAAAGACAATATAAAATATAAGCGCCGACGTGACATAGAGAACTCCTGTCCAGAGATGAAACACCTCTGGTTAGAGATTCCCGGCCGAAACATGTACAGCAAAGCTTGGTGGGCGTGATTTATAATTCTCAACGTATTCTAAATCCATCTAGCCGGTTAGATAGCCTCGAGAGTTTGCTAGGTCATCTCACAGTGTCATGGGATGGCATGCTAATCCTTACTAGTGATGTCAATATCGACATGCTTAGTCCTCTCCGCTACCTTACAAAAAGGTACCAGACCATCCTTGAAGTCTTTGGATTAGCGCAAGTAGTGACGCATCCAACTAGAATTACAAAGACAACGAAAACTCTTCTAGATCACCTCATCACAAACTACCCACAAAAGGTTACGGACACAGGTATAGTACCTTGTTCCTAATGAGTGATCACGTCGCCATCTACGTTACATCAATGTCCGTTTTCCCCGCTTTCAACCGCGGTCTAAACACATATGGGTTATGAAAAACTTTAAAACCTTAAGGTCCGATCGTTCCACAGGAGCTGATCAGATTCCAACTACATTCATAAAGCTAGCGGCTGACCGCTTGGCGGGCCCCCTTACTAGGATCATTAACAGTTGTATAACTGAAGCATACTTCCCAAAGCTTTGGAAGATCGCCAGAGTGTCGCCCATACCCAAGGTAGACAACCCGAGTACCAATGACGAACTACGACCAATCTCGATATTACCGGTGTTGCCTAGGGTGTTCGAAAGGTTGGTCGGCTGGCAGCTGTCCGAATTCGCAAATAGCGCCTCTCTTCTTCGTGATAACATTTCCAGTTTCCGTAAAGGGCATTCTACTACTACTGCCCTTCTTGGAATAAGAGATGATATAAAGCGCGCTACGAAAAGTAAAGAGGTCACCTTGATGGTTCTCGCCGATTTTTCTAAGGCTTTTGATACGGTTTGTTTCAAGACGACGCTGAAGAAATTCTACAAACTCGGCTTCTCCAAAAACTATTTAAAATGGCGCCTTAGCTATTTATCTGGTCGAACACAATTCGTACAAATTGATGACACTAAATCACACCGCAAACTGTCACAGTTTGGAACACCTTAAGGATCGATCCTTGGGCCGATGATCTTCAATTTATATGTATCAGACCTTCGAGACAACCTCGATCTATCCACGTCTTGTTGTCAGTACGCTGATGACACATCCCTCTACACCCACTGTGCAGTAAGGGAATTGGAATCACCGACGTGCGATTTAAACGAATCCCTTACCAAACTTGGATCATGGTCTAAGGACTCCAACCTTGCCTTGAACCCTAATAAGACCAAATTCATGGTTCTTTCCGCCCAGCAAATGTCATCACATCACAAATTAGCAGATTGCGCACTTAATCGGATTAAGTGCGCGATCTGAGTGAGTCACTGTGGGAGACAACTCTCTTGAGCGAGTCAAATCTACAAAGTTGCTCGGGGTTATCATCCACTGTAACCTCAAATGGGACGACCACATTAAACATTTAGCTGCTTCATGTTATGGTACCTTAGCCACGCTTAAAAAAAATCAAGAACTTTACTAATTATAAGCTAAGAAAGCATCTTGCTGAATCGTTAGTTCTATCACCCTTAGACTTTAATGACATTGTATTTTACCCGCTCAGTGAAAACAACATCGGTCAATGTGACTTCTGTGAGAAAACAATTAGACGTAATCAAAAGAGAATCTTGTGTGTTAATTCTATCGGATTCTTTCTTTGGAAAGCCTTCGCGTTCCAGCGAAACTATAAACCTTAAAAGTAATCGTGATTTATAGCATTTTTTTTCTTTAATTTTATTGTAATACCCAATTTTATGTTTGTATAACAGATGTAGAGCCATTTTACCCATAGACCAAACGGATGGGAGGAAGAGGAGGGGTATTATCGACGATTTTGGTCGCATATCTTATTTGTAATCAAACATTTTATCTCAGCTAACAAGTCATTTACCAGCCATAGACAGCTGTTTCCTCTTTATCAGGTTCATAAACATGGCATTTCTAACATGGTATCCAAGCCATCATGTAAGTTTTAGAAAGGCCGATTGAGGCCGAACAGAGAAGAAAAAGCTGTACGTGGCTGTACGTTAACTTAAATTCACTTTTTGCCGGTGATATAGACCTTGTGTCATTACTGCCCACGCTGTTGCTCTGCTACACCAACTTTACATCGTCATCATTGTCTCATCGTTGTCTGCTTTGCAGACAAACGAGCTCCACCGCTCAGATTAATTAAGGCCTGGGTCAAAAATTATTTTCGCCTCCAGTGCCCCCCCAGCAAGGTTCGCGGAATTCGCGTGGACTGCGCGAGTAACCATAGTTACTTGGAATCAAGATCGCGTAGTTCGTGACGGCATCCGCCATTTTGAAGTGTCGGCTTTGTATTGGTTTTTCCCATCTTCGCTGGTGAATCCGACAATCTAGAGGAAGACATCAAAAGAAGGTAATAACATTTTCTTTGCTATCTTCATTTCCTCAAAAAATGGCATGATGTCGCTATCTTAAAGCCAAAGAGAACCCTTTTGAACCTACGAAGACTTCTAAACACCGCTCTCAACATGTTCATTGATTTCACTGCAAATACAATGCAACATGAATTTATAATATAGCGCTCATTTCTAGAGCTCAATAGCGTTTTACAATGTTTGTAACTTTTGCATAGAAAAAAGTACTATGTTTTGTAACAAATGCATAGAAAAAAGTTTCATTGTGGATATACCATTCAATTTTGAAATTAAATTTAGCTTGATAAATCCTCTATCACATCATGATGTGTAAACTTATGGTGTTTATCAAAATTTAGGCTTTTGAATGCTTTGGAAACAATTTCTCCAAGAAGCAGATGAATTTATTGACAAACGTAATCCCCCACAGCAGTTGTTAGGTAAGTTTAATTGCTGACATGTAAGATGCAGATTGTCTTGTC